TGCCCAACTATAATTATCTAACATCTGCAAGACTATTTTTTGTTAATGCTATTCGCACCTGGAACTCGATTCCATCTCATATTCGTAATAGTTTGAACATAAGCAACTTTAAGAGTGTTTTGTATTCTTATTTTCGTTAAAATGCTATTTCATATCCAAAGTTATACCCTTTCCTCTGAGGCTCGCTAGGCTAATCAATACATTATTATGTTTTTCCTTATGCTCCACCTGTGATTCTCTATAGAGTTTTGTAAGTTTTTGTTGTTCCTGTTTTTGACTTATATATTACTTAATTTTAAACATTAACATATTGTAATTCTTTATTATAAGTTACAGTTGTACTATAAAAGATCATTGGGATCTTATTGTGCTAATGTTATATTTTATAATAAATGAAATGAAATGAAATGAAAATGAAATATATTATGTTATATATGTACAAACACATGTATACCGCAGATATTGTAAAAACCCTGACAAAAAAGTCTTGGAACGTATGCTAGAGTCTCGCCTCGCCCGAGAAGTTGATTTTGAACGGCAAAAATCTAAGACCCTATCGCTTCACTTAACTCATTTGTTCGCTCATATGTATTTGTAAGTTTTTTATATTGTAGAAGCAGACATTTATTTGAGAAACCAACGATTGATTATAGGTTTGGCCGTTGCGTAATTTTTACCAAATTATGGGCGCATCCCAGGCTATTCATTACGTGGTCAAAATTGTTTGATTTAAATCAAATTGAGGTTTTTAGTTTTATTTTAATTAAAGTTTTTGGCCTTTAAGAACCCATTAAAAAAAAAAAAAACGAAAAAAACGTGGATATATCTATTTAGCGACCCAAACATAATGTAGAAATATGAATCATTTACTGAGAGTGATTTTTGTAGATTGGTGTCATTATTTTGTTCGGAAACGAAAATTCTTAATGTTCTTATATTTGGTTATGCTTTAGTTTTCCCAGAAAATAAGTATGCAAGTACTCACTTGAATCCTTAATTTTTGCTTGTGTTTCACTTTCCGAGAAAGTGGAAATAAAACTCGTGAAGTGAAACACAGAAGCCCGAATGATGGATTAAAGTTGAGTTTTGTCGAAATTTACGCTGAAGTGGATTGCAGAACCTGCCTGTTTATTTTAAAATTTTGAAAAGTAAAGTAAGCTCTTTTTTCCCTAGAAGTAAATTTTGTGCCCGTAACGAAAAACAGCGACACTTGTTAGACCATTGGGGACTATCCAAGTATTACGTAAACACCCAATAAGGGTGGGGGCCTTGGGGTTGCTTATTTTGATGACGTGGGGCAGGGGGTTGATCAGGATGATGATTAGGTCAGTAATATTAATTTTTTTACTTTTCTTATTTTTCTGAAAGCTTGGTGGGGTCTATAATGAAAAAAAAAATTGCATCAAAAATTCATGAATAACAATATATGGAGAGGGGGTATATATGTATGAATTTCTAAAAGTAAGTGAGACCAATTAAATTTATGTGCTTTTCGTCGCTGAAATCGATTTCGTGTTATTTTCAATAATATTGTAAAACTCTACAGAGTACTCTGGCACACTTTAATCTATTATTAACTCACTTCCTATTAAATTACTGGAGTACCTATGCCTTTTCAGGGACCAAGAATAAAATGTATGATCGAAACTAAATGTAGTTCTCGTAGAAACCTGTCGAGAACGTTCTAAATGGGAATTATATAAGAACAAAACCCTATGGAACGTTACCAAAAAGAACAAAATTGCGAAAAACACTTTCGGGGACATTTTGAAAAGAAAAAAGTGAGAACAAAAATCTCCGGAACTTTCGAAAAAGAAAAAAAACTGGAACCAAAGTCTTAGGAACTTTCGCCCGAATAACAATTTGGAACTAAAGTCTCAGGAACTTTCTGACAGAAAACAAAACGGGAATAAATCTTCTCTGAACTATTCGTGAAAATGGAAGCGAGAAAAAAATTTTTCACTTGGGGTTCATTAGTTTGAAATGTTTGAATATTAAAAGTAGTCAAAAAAGAACTGAAAGTTAGTTATGCAAACGAAAGACTTAAGACACAAACTTTTCTTGCACCGGAAATGAGAAATTGTTCTATAATGGACAGTTCCCCCTAATGATAAACAATCTGGAACTTTAAATGATCCAGATTTTCTCTGACCTAGAGTTAACAATCACGGTTTTCACTGAAATGATTTTTCATCCCAATACCATCTCATTCTTAATGTTAAGTTCTCAAAACCTCTGTTCCCGTTGT